GAATCGGCGGGGCACCGTCGACGACCTAGGTGGCGGTACGTTCGCGTTCGCGTACAATTGCAACAACGCCGTGTTGTTCGAAGTGCCGAGGTTTATCACGCGGCTGTTCACCGCGTTGTTGTTATTCGTCGTGACGTTGTTGTTATTGTTGTTGTTATTGTTGGTGTGATGGTGATGAACGGGTGGCGGCTTACTCTGCGTTTGTAATCGTGCTTGATGATGAGAATGCTGGTGCTCTTGCGGCGACGACAACATATGGCCGATGTCCGGTGTCACGGTGACGGAAATCAACTTGGGAATGGAGTTAGGCGTTACTGGAAGCGGATAAGATATTGGCGGCTTTTCCTCGGACTTCATGGTCGCTGGAGCCGGAGGATTGCTTTGGATCACGCTCGGTCGCGTGTCCAGATCAACGGCAGTGACTTCGAGACCACCCTCGCGAAGTATCTCGAGCTTGCGTTTCTTAAAACTGGGAATGATTATTTTGTCCCTACTCGTGTCGCTCTCCGTCTCGAGGTCGATCACCTCTGGCGACCTGGGAGGCACTATCGCTTTCTCGGCGAATATAGACTTCTCTCCGAACAAGGGGATGTTCTCCTTACCCTGTGCCAGCAGGGTGGTTTGTTTCGAATCTAACTTCAGCTCTTTCATATCCTTCTCCGGCGGCGGAGTCAGCGTGACGACCGTAGAGGCATTCGTCGCTACTGTGGTGACCGGTAAACCCGGCGGCGAACACGACGGTGGTACTTGTTGCGATATCAGAGGACTGTTCAGTTGCCTCTCTAGAACGCTCTGACTTCCGGTACCGTTCGTGGGTGTGGTGGAGGGTGTACTGCTCGGTGTCGAGATCGACGTGTTCGAGGAAGGTGGTGGACTTGGCAGTTGGTTGGCTTGCTGGCTAGGCGACGATGTGCTGTTGGCGATTATCGTGTTCAACGATTTTAACCGTTCCGGCTTTACTCGTACGCTTCGCAACGACGACGTCTTGCTGGTCTCCGTTTTCGGTTTCTCGCCCGGAAGGAAGGGCTGCAATAGGAAACAGATTGATTCGATCGTATTCGAATAAAACGAATTCTCAGTGACTCCTTGCGACTTACGACACTTACTGTCGATGATATAAGAGGTTGAAGAGGAGAAGTTACGGCGGTAAGGCTCGCTTCTACAGGAGGAGGCGTTTCCGGCGGATACGGATCGTTCGGTTCTTGCTTCGCATCCTCGGACTCGTCGGACGCGCTATTACTTTTCGCGCGTCTAACGTGAGTCAGCTTGACTTTTGCATCCTCGCCCCTCTGATACCTCTCGTAAGGCAACAGTAACCTGTTGACGCAAACACGAACTATATCGATCAAACTCGAGCTTATGGCATACGTATCGGCCGACTTTCGTCCAGTCGATCGAGCGCTTACCTTTCGTAATGTCGACGAGTGATTGTCGCGGCGCTGGTAGAGCCCGTGTTACCGCCGATATCGTCGTAGATGGTCTTCCATAATCGGCCCGCGCTGACCGAGTCGTAACCACCCAATAATTGGACCTTCGTGTAAAACAGGAAGAGGTCGACTGAAAAATTAACATCGTGCTCGTTACTCGAATGCCTCTGTCCAGTCGGCATAGCGATACGATATTCGTGAGAAGCATGTCAGTTTGAACTGTCAAAAGGAAACACTGCTGTATATCAGCTTCGAACAGTACCGATCGGATCGTTTGAAAATTTAATCGATCAAAGCACAGTGTTAAGAAAAGCGTGTCTACAGGTGGTCGCCAATTGGTTGTAAAAAAAACTCAGATACTGACTCTGCCTGTAGCCCAGCAGTGGCATCTTTCCGACAGGCGTACCCCGCGAGTTCATGAAATTCTGCACGTCCGTGAGGAACTTCTTCTCCTCCGCGCTCGTTTTCCTCTCGCTTCGTCGAACAGCCGACGAGGGTGGCCTACCCACGCTTTGCACCACAATACTCGAACTCGTCGGTGGTGCGCTCTTCGAGGTAGACGCCACCGAGGCTTCGCTCTCGTTGCTCGACTCGCCCGGTGATGCGCTGCGCTTTTTACGCTTCCTCCTTGGCCGTCCCTTTAATTTTGGCGCTGAAAATAACAAACACGCTGTAACTAATCCGCTTAGAGTCGTATATCGTTGATGGGCAAAGATTGGAAAGGAAATTGCTTGGCGTTTATCGAAGCTGGTAAAATTTACAACAAAGTCAAATGATCGAGCTATTTTTTTAGGAGATTGTGTTCTGCATGCGTTGATGGTTTCGATAGAGTTCGAATATATTGGATTTTCTAAGGGTCCCAGAAGACCCGCAAATAGTTGCGTGAACAGAGTTCCACAAGTTGCCATTCTTGGAAAAACGCGCCACAGACGTAACAAATGAGCGGCGCAATTAAGGGAAGCTCGGACCGTTTAATTGGTTAACACCGATAGCCGATTTAACCAATTACGTAAAAATAGACTGTCAACATAGGTTGGCGTGGAAAAATTTCTACAGAGCCAGGAAAATAACTCGGAACGGAAAAGGTCCTACGAGCACGACAGAACCTAGGAGTGAAATTTTCTGTCACAATCGATCCAATTCGAAATTGAAAAAATAACCAATATTATTAATAAACAATGAATTGAATTATAAATTAATAATGTAGAGACACAGTGTCGAATTCGAGAGGTAATTACATTGATCAATTAAACTGGGTCAACTGGAATACGCCAATAGCTGCAGAGTATCGATTAATTTAAATATTATATTTAAATTACAAACAGTTACCGTTGCATGTTTCAACGTTAATAAACGTTTATTAAGTTATAATTATCATGTGCAGTTTTTATTCTTTTAATTGTCACGCTGTTTATTCAGTTTTTTATCATTGCTTTTTTCCGATTGAAAATTTACTCGCTTAACGAGTTAAAATAATTTCTGCCCGAGCACGGGATAAAAAACGTTACAAAAGGTATAAAACGTTCGAGTTTATAGTTTGCCATTGACGGTTACGAGAGTTGTTTGTTTCAAGATCGTACAAAGAAACTAAACGATTCCCATCGGGATTAAATAACACGATAAGTCGTGTCTTACACGATTTCCGTTTCTGTTTAAAAGACTAGCATCGCGATTGCGTGATCCTCTTTAATTCTCTCGTAATTGAACGCAAAATTAGTTTCGTTATACATTTACGTCCGTTTAGAAATCATTCGTTTGTGCTTTTAATTTACGAAATAAAGTTTCGAGAAGCTTCGTACACCAACAATTCTATAAATATATTGTTACACAGAAACATCCGAATTAATAGAAAAACAAAATATCCGAGAAAAGTATCGGTGCCAGCTTTACGAAGAAATTCACGTTTTCCTTTTTGATGACGATACACATGAAAATTGCATTTCCCAGAATTTCGTACGCGTAGTCAAATTTCATCGACGAACAGAATATCTTCTGTCGAATCAAATATTTCATCGAATGTAATTCCAACAAAATCTGTGCATCACCGGGAGATAAAAATACACATCATTGGATTTACATGACATCGTGCGCAATTCAAGTAGCACATAACTGTTTATGGTTATGTCTCGTATACGCGTCGTGTTCTATAGAACTCACCTATTTCAAAGTACACCACTTTATTCTGTTTGATCTTCATTCGTATTGCCATCATGTATAACCAAAAGGTCGTGTCGTAAACGATTATTCACTGTCACAGTTCGATGTTTAGATTACGGTGTCAACGATTTATTGTCGTGCACAAAATCAAACGGATCGAGACGCAGAAAGCGGATAGAAATTTCAAGACAGAGGACACGCGTTCCTTTGCGATCACGATCGTATTCTGATACTGTTAAAAACCGTTCCGCCGGCAAAGTACCGCGTCACACGTGTCTCCGTGTTCGAAAAAGCACGATCGCCTAAAATCATAACCTTCTTCGCTACATTGTATTCTTCCGCGCACTCTACTGTTATTTACCCTAGAATTAAATTGCGATAGCGCATCAATGCAATATGAAGGTGTATAGAAAACAAACGAAGCAAAGGAATAAAACACGAACTAAAGTGGAATAAATAAAAAAGGACTCGATCGATAAACAGATTTCTTTTTTTAAATCGAACTATGAATAATTCCGAAGTAGGTGCATCGAGGAGTTCCTCGAGGATATCTCGGTAAAATATCGTTGTTCGATACACCGTTAAAAATCGGAGATAGCAACCGTGCCTTACCAACGCAAGATGCGTTAAGTTCGGTTGGTAACGCAACAACCTACCTAGATGATTGCAGAGTAGCTCGTGAGTTTCTAGGTCCGGATAGTCGAAGGTGTCTCTGCAGAAGAGTACTCTGGTACCCGGTGTGGCGGTGAATCCACCCAGGGCGGCTGCTATGGACGAGCAAAGCCAGGACGGTTCGGCACCTTCGAGTCTTCGCAGAAGGGCTCGATATCGACAATACCTGGGGTACGAGAGCACCACCACTTTCGTTTGGGCGCCGTACTCCATCTTCCTCGTATTGTGGTTGCTCTCGAACTCCTTCTGTTGCTTCTCGATATCCGAGAAATCGATGCCAGGATCTGTGAGCACCTGGGGCTGAGGTATCTCGTACCTCAACGGGCTGTTCTCCGGGGACGACGTGGGTGTCGGTGGGTAAGACACCTCCCGACCCCATGACCATTCCAAGCTTGGTGACAACCACGTGACGAGATCGTGAACACGGACCACCACCTTCTCGGATATCGTCAGCACCTCGTCCTGCAAACAAAACGTGTTTTCTATTAATGTCTAGCTACGATTATTCCACCGATCCTTGAAAGTTTCGACAATCACTCTGGGGATTCTCGACGCTTTCGGACCGTTCAATTATTTATGCAATCAGTCGTTTAGAAGTATCACGTTTTTGCTAGAGAATATTTGATGCTCTCGCAAACGCTATAAACGTGTATATCTTCTCCTCGCATGATCGTGTAGGTACATAGATCTTGGAAACTGGGACAAAAAGTTTTTTACGCGCGTTTCATCGTATAACTTCGATATGCAGGGTTGTTTTCTTTATGGAAAAACTTTTGGGACACGTTAAAACAGTATGCTTGTACCAGACGGAATTACTGGTTGAATCAAAGTTCTCTAAATGGAACGCAAAGAACCGACGATAATTGAGTTTACCCATTTTGATAGAGTTCGAAAGTTTTCGTTGTTCTACGGGGTAGGAACCTATTTTACCGGCCCGACTAATCTTGAAACGTTGTTTTACCGACAGGTGGAGACACGCTCGACTCCCACGGCTATCTCGACTCCTAATAATCCCACCTACTCCACCTACATAGATCTGGTGGGGGAGCCAGCTAAAACACCTATGTATTCGTTATGTATACACATATAATCCAGCGAACGTAACTCGTGGTTTATGTTGTCCTCGAGTGCATCATTATCTACTCTGCTTCGACGATAATTTAATTGTCCGCTGGATGCTAGCGGCTACGTCATTTTCACCAAGTTTGACTCAACTCTTGGACCACCGTTGATTCGTGCGATTTAATTCCTCTGTAGTATTCAACGCTGGCTTCGGCGATGGTTGAATAATTTAGAGGGCAGGAATTATTCGAACAGGGGAGGAATTACAACGGCTATAAACAACTCCGTACACCTGGCTAAAAAACTGATAGACGCAATTTGCCCTGTGTGTAATTCCGAAGGAATTGAGTAATAGCGGTAATGACTCGCGAACCAACCGTCGAATCGTAGAAAATTTATTGCGCGACCGTTCAACGCGAGGACAAGTCGACTTGGCATAAATCAGCTAAGAAAAGTAAACGCTAAATAAATTCTCGCGCTCCTCGAACTTGGGCGATTCGCGAGATCGTAGGATTAACATCCGGTGTCGAATGTTTAGGAACTGCACGAAAGAAATCGGAGAAAGTTGATACTGTTCGAGCAGCAACGACTAACCAAATAATCATATTTGCCCGTACAACGGCAACTTTGCCGTTACATTTAATTAACGTCGCAAACTTGCCGGTGTAGTTGAACCGCAATTAGGTTACATAACTGCAAGATTCGTTAGCGTAGAATCGAATCGCGCGGAAAAGAATTGAGATTCAACGAGCAATTGTGAGGATGCACTTGAACCCGATGACTCCGCGGGCAAATCCATTTACCACCGGCGAGAAGAGCCTCGAGCCAAGCGAAACGACCAGGTTTTAACCCCCATAGCGCTGGAACTGCCAGCTGACTTGGCTAAGAGAAGTTGAACAGAGAATCACCGATGGAATTAACGATGTCGCTTTTGGCAAAGCGAACAATGCACATGTTTCTTCGATCCTTCTGTCGTAGCCGTCTTTTATGTAAGTGAAACGAAACGGTTATTAACTCTTTCTCGGTTTCCTCTTCTTATCCTATTCGCTTCTCGTAAGTTAGTAACGTTGGAAATTTCTACATCTAGGAGAGGAAGTTAAAAGAATGTTAGGAATGGAAATCTGGATCCACAAGTTCTTGTCTTCGACACGGGTCAATCGTAAACCCATTGCCATTCCGATCGCGATTCCCAAAACTTTCAGCGTAATCCACGTACAATTTGTTCTTGCTACCCTTTTCGAGAACACGTCGCTCCCATCGCTACTTTCAGCACTTGGCCGTGGATTCTCTCCCTTTCTGGCTCTCTCGGTCACGTACGTTGCTGCTCGTTTCCTCTCATTGTTAGTCTCACAGAAGATCTTGCTTCTCTCTTAGTTGTTACGGCATCCGTCCTACTTCCCCGTCTTCGTCCAGCTTCCGGTACTCGTGCTCGCTCTGTTCCGAGCTCTCCATCCCCCTGAATCACGGCTCTGAAAACAAACCCTTCGTCTTAATCGCGGGGACACGCGAAAAACGATGGAGCAGAATAGTAACCGAGAGAGGTATCGTGCCACAAAGAAGAATCTTCTGACGCGTATGCTTCTTTTTCTCTTTTAACCTCCCTGTTCTTCTTCTGCTTCGTCTTCGTTTCTCTCCTGTTGTCCTGTTCGCCTTTTCGCGTATTTATCCTGAGAGGGTCGCTGGATCTTGTATCGACTCCTCCGATAGAGCATTCTCGCTCGACCCGATCGCTCCTCGTACACGGTTTTTAATTAAATCTCTGCCACTTGTCGGCGTTACCTTCGACGTGGCAGCGTCCTTTATCCGTTTGTTATCGGGCACGAAATCGCGTCTGATTATTCGTGTATTACATTCGGTGTCGTTGTTTCGAGGGAAGGTTCCAGTAAACTGCGAAAACTTTGTAATCGCGTTAAAGCCGGTAGTGAAACTGATGGCGGCAGTTTCAGCTCGCAACTCGATTCTATTTAAATATTTAAATGCAGTTTTAAAGTTGTCCGCGAAGTTTCTCCAAATTGGTAATCTCTTACTTTTCAATCGTCCGGGACGACGTGCTTAACCGAGATCCAATTAAAAGAGCGTAAATTTTGGATGATCGACGAGCATCGGCCGTGTTGTAGCCACTTTTGCATCATCGAGTCTCTGGCTGGTTGATCGCCAGCAATTGGAACGATTCGATTAATTGTTCTCGTATTAAGCCAGACGTTTGTTTTCCGTTGAACTGTTAACCAGCCAACGGGTCGGTGATTCGCACCGGGAAACGGTTTACAGCCTCTTCTTGTATGCATAAGTAAATTTCGCTTGTCCACGGTCCATTTAAATTTTTAATGAAACCAACGCGGAAAGGCAGTCGAAGTTACGTTTTATTAATGGCTCAATGGATATTTCAATAAATCTCGGCGTGGAACGTTCAAACGCGCATATTTCAAACAGCCCCTGAAACCCTCCCTTCGGCCCTATAACCCCCCTCGGCAAAGTATGCACTTGGCAAAATTCAATTTAACAGAGCCATGAACCTACTGTTTGAGGCGCAAACTTTTCTCAAAGAAAGCTGCCGAGGAAATTAGATCCGTGGATTTACAGTTTCCTGAAATATTCAGGGAAACGACTATTCGTAAGTTTCCCTCCCATAATCCCCTTATTGTATCGTAACGTTTATACACGGTATAGACAATCGCGGTTATTTTCCGCCGTTCGAGAGTTTACTCGCGCGCCAAACGAAATCTCGGGACGATAAAAGATAACCGGTCAAACGAAGAACGAAACGATCGCGTCGGAAGCAGGGTGGCTGCGAGCTCGTTTTGCACCCTCCGCCCGAAAATTTGCTCGACTTCCGTCGTCTGTGCATCCAGAAGATGAGACAAACTCACTCTATACACCCGTGCATTCCCCTTGACTGCACATATCCGAGATGTGTATCTAGAAGAGGGAGAGTCAGGGAGAGAGCTAGGGTGTGTTAGAGGTAGAGACAAAGCGATAGAGGGATTAAAGGGTCACTAGGGGGAAAGAGACAGAATGGTCGAGTGGATGGAAAGGGGAAACGTAGAGGGAAACCGGTGCACATGTGTAAGGGTAACAATGCGCCAGAAGGTAGCGCAATGTTGGCACGGACACAGAGCCAGATCTAACCCCAAACTCACGACATGGACAGTATGCACGGAATCACGTGGAAATGTATTCCGACGTTGCTATGGGGATTCATTGGCACCCTAAATACACCGATAACCTATCAATTCACCGACACCGAACGACCCTACGAAGTATAACGGACGATAATGTCTCCTGATAAATAGAATGTCATAATGGACACAGATTTCTTTTTTCACCGGTAATTCCTTTGCTAATGATCGCAGAACGATTACGCCTAACCTGTTTATCGTGGATCACAGTTATTACGCTGGTTTGATTAAGATTTTATCGAGACCGCGTTACTCGTTCGTTGTGTGTACACTGTACGCGTTCGCCGGCGGGACGGAACCGATCAGTTCGAGCGATCGCGTTCGCTTTGACGCGCGCGTTTCGTCGCTGGCGAATTCTAGCGAAACGATACGACGAAAAAAATGATACGGACGTTTGTCGAGAGAAGAAAATTGTTCTCGTTTCGCGTCTCCGAAGAGGCTATTAAAGAGTGGCGTGGATAGATTAAGTCGAAATCGTGGGTGGGTTACTTAACCAATATCAAGGGACGGGATGAAAAGGGTTCACGGTTAACTGCTAAACCAGCGAAAAGATAGGGTAAGACGACTCACGGAATGTTTTATGGCAGAAGTCCAAATGATGTTTGTGGCTCAGGAGAGAACACTAAGAATTGTTAATGAACTTCAGGCCGGGTATATCGGTGGGAGTAATTTGAAGTTTGCGCGACTTCTCCTCTCTCTCTTCCTTACCTTCTTGAAACAACGTTTAATTTTTAAACGACTAAACGTTTTTATTCGCTTTCGAAGCACACGGTTCTACCTCGAACGGCTGTTACCATTATCGTGAAGCTTCGTCATCGACGTTCGACATAAATTTCGCATTATTCTTGATAAAATGATTTGTAGCAGCGAATTCAATTAAATGTTACAAGCAAAAGTCATCCCCTTCTCCCCTTTTTCTATTCGTACCGAACTCGGTTGTCCAGCCGTTTTGATTAATTCCCTGGCGAACAAAATAATAAATAACCGTGGAAATTGTGTTTTCATCTCGTGTATGAATTTTCGCCAGGTAGCACGATCAATAATGTATGCGTCGTGTTCGATTTGTTTGTTTCGAGGGCATCGAAACGCGCGCATCGTTTTAATAACGATATCCCACGACACGGGCGGACCCTTAATGCCTCCTCATCCTCTTCGTGTAACGCGAGAGGATCCCGCGTCCATTTACCAGCTAGAATTTATTGCATTAAACGTAATAAACGACTT